AAGTTGAATAGGAAGTCATATACTGGCAATTTACTGTGACCTTGAAATTGACCTTTGACCTACCTTACGATGAACTTAACTTTGATTGTACCATTTTAAGTTATATATATTTTTTGCATATTTTGAAAATTCTTGTTGATTGCATTTTTATAGCTTGTCAAGCATAAGACTGGTGGCTGTGTCCCTTATTTTGTGTATGTGGGGGTCTATACGAATGCGCTTGCTCCAGCTGGTGGTACAATATTCGGAGGCGGTATCGCCTCTCTGATCCTCTAGTTGTTGTAATGATTATCACAGTTCATCATGGGAATCCCTGGAATTTGAGGCTAATGGCTGTGTATTAGATGTAGGATCCAAATTTTTAGACTGAATTGTTTGATTTGTATTGCCTTCATTCCCCTCAGCTGTATTTGCTGTGCTGTTATCTTTGTAAAAAACATTTTTTGCGATTTCGTGGAGTATCATGTCTACAGCATCGTGGTGCCCCCTAGTGAGTGGAGGGTACGAGTACTGCAGCAGTGGTGCCACAGCCACCAGGTGTCTCTGCATGTCTTTTATCTGGTCACTGGTCACCCTATTCAGGACGTGAAGGATGCTGACCCCTGCCTTGATGTTCTCCTCTGGAATACTGACCGTGAACTTGGAGTAGTCAATGCTGGCACTGAAAGGATACTTCACTTTGTTTTTGAATTCAAATATCACAGGAATACAGCCAGACAAGATGGCGTCGTAGAAAGATTTCCTCGTTGGTGAGTCGCCTGATGGTTGTACACAGAACACGGCATGTTTCATCCACAGCATGGTGGTGTTCCTGTGCCTTCCCTGGCACTCTGGTGTCTTCAGCCACACCATCTCCGTCTCCTCTCCACGGCCTCTCGCCGCCATGTGCTCAGTGTAGCTAACATCAGTGGCAGGCGGGAACTGATCCAAGATGAGGTTACGAAATGGATTGGACCTGCGTTCTCCTGCAGCCATGAAAACCCTTACTGTCCTGGTGTGGTTGTATAGCCAGGAGTGCAGTGCGGGGGCGGTGATATTCTCCCCCTGTATAAAATGTCCATAGGAGGGGTAGGGGGCCACAACCAGCTCTCCTGTTACGTTATAGTACTTCCTGTTGTTTTCTACCACTTCCTGCTCTATCCCCACCCAGGTGACCAGGCGGCTGTCTGGGTGCCTCAGTGTGGGACAGTTCACAGAATACTGTTCACGCTCTATCTTAGACAGAATCCCAAAATGAGGCTTGGAGGGGAAGTGCGCCCCCCACTCACCTCTCAGGTATGCGTACAGTTGCTCCAGCTGATCATAGTCCCCCTGACGACAAAAACATGTAAGAGCACTATAGAAAGGGATGTAGAATAGGTCCGCCTCACTGGGGTTGTTTGTGCGCCGTGTACTGTGCATGAGTTTATGATGCATGAGGACCTCTAGTGAGAACTGGTGGGTGTCACGTATACTCAGGGGGCCATCTTGGTACAGCTGCTCTCCCATGCCTTGGTGGCGCAGGTCAAAGCAGTAGTTGCGTAGATTGGCACAGTTCAGGAGGTCAGAGGTGAACCGCGGCGGGAGGTCGTACACATACACTCTGTAGTCTGGTATAGAAGTGACAGGTGGGTTGGCCCTGGAATATACAGCAGTAGACACTGATGACATGAGATACAGTTGAACCAAGGTTTTTACCAGCGAACCTTCCAGTTGTCATTTGGATGGCTGCCAGCATCACTGGTGGCTTATGGATTTTTTTTGGAAACCTGATGGCTTTAGGCACACTTGGATTTCCAGAAATTTTGTAGGAAATTTCAGGTGGTAATTTGGATGGCCTGCACCCCCCAATCCTGGGAAAAGCCCTGACTTAAATAATACCTGAAGTGTGAGGAGGGGGGTCTGCAACTTAACTTAAACATACAGATACATATGACATTAGGTACATGTCCACAATACCTGGGTTTTTAGATGAAGTATGACTGTGTATATGTGTGTGTGTGTGTGGGGGGGGGGGGTGAAATCTGCTTTTTTGTGGCAACACAATTGTGTTAGGAATATCACATATAACACTGCACCTTGGTACATTGATATGGTATGTATATTTACAAGAAATGCCATCATTTCATCTGATATAAGTAGATTGTCTGTTATATCTAATTATACAGGTTATCCTGTGTAACTAGTTTCAGACTGTGGGGGCTGGGGTGACTGTTTTCTGTGACACTGTGAAGATACAGACAGTGATAAGAGACTATCAGAACTTTCTGTCTAGTCGTGCTGCACTTTGCGACCCCTCTTTGTGTCTAGTCACCTCAGGACACGCCTGCGTGAATGACTTCATGTAATAAAATTGGAGGTGGATGTGAAAAAAAGGTCTTGTTTAATTCTTGAATTGGATGATTGTGCTGAAGTTTTGTTTTCAGTGTCTTCAGTTTTTTCCCCTTCTCAAATGAAAAGTTTAAATGCTAATGGTTAAGAAAATACAGTTAAAGGCTGATTCTGAATTAACAAAAGTTTTGCTCTTTCTTTTCTTATAGACATTTACCTTGTCATAAACAAGTTAACAAGGAAAAAATGTGGGATCTCACCTCTGTGTGTCTTGGTTGTCACATATGTGCTGACCAGTGGCTATTGTAACCAAGATGACCAAACTGACCACTGAGATCATGGCTATAAATGGACAGTGACTGGCTGCTCACAAGTCTTGGCTAGTGGGCATCTTGTCTTTCAACATAGGTTACTGGAAATAAAAGATATCTTCTAGTTAATATATATATATGCAAATTGACTTATCTCAATCATCGACAGTTTTTATCCAGTCATAGCAAAGTATTTTTGCATAACTGTTGCAGTTCTGCCACCGGGAGTACTACAGTATCAACCTGTTTGTATAGGGCATGACTGCATACACATCAGACTAGGGAAAATACATAGTGCTGGAAATTTTATAACTTAACGGGGTACCTCCCTTTTTGGCATCTAAAATGTGTATTGTAGCAGAGTTATTATTGCCGTTTGGCAGGTTATACTGCACTTTACAAAAGGCCGGGATCAAAGGAGACAAAGCAGAGTCGAGACTGCATGAACAACGGACGCTATTCATAGGGGAAATACATTATATACTGACAGTCAATAAAAATGCATCAGAAAACTTTGTTGTACTTTTTTTACCGAGAATCGATTCCAACCATATAAACGAGTACAAATGCACTTGTTTGGTCATAAGAGAGTGGACTGACCACTATTTCATATTTCACACCAAAACTTTTATTTTCTTAATGTGCCAAAGGAACTTGAAATATTATTTGATAAAAAAATGATGCATTTTCATTGACTGTCAGTATATATTAAAACATTTTGGTGGGGAGATTCTGGTGTCTTTCACTTACCTGTCTTAGAATACGGTTATGTATAAATGGGTAAAAGTTATCAAACTTCCAGACACATAATTTTATAATCACACAATTTATAGCATTTGGGGTGCTTTTACTGCATAGGATAAAAGTATGGAGAAGCCTGGTTTTTATATTTGTTGCTACCACTAAATAGGAATATTCTGATTTTAAGAAATAATGATTTTAAAGAAAGTATCAGAATCTGTAAAATCACAAATTTCACCATTGAAAAGGTCAAGTAATTACTGTATAGAAAGATGAGGTAGCTGGCTGGTTTTTCACTTACCTGTCTTAAAATATAGAAAGATGAGATAGCTTGCTGAACATCCCTTCACTTACTTGTCTTAGAATATATAGAGAGATGAGATAGCTTGCTGTTTGGTCACTTGCTTGTCTTAGAATATAGAAAAAAGAGGTTGCTTGCTGTTCCTTCACTTTGCTCTGTTAACAGTAGGAGTACATTGATGTTCTTATACTTCACAATCTCATGGTAGAAGACAAAGATACAGTCCTTGTTTTCCCCTTTTCACCACTGCTAGTAATGACCAACACTGAATGACTTCATATTGAACTAGTTGTCCTTTATGTCCAACAATAGAAGTGACCATCAATTATCTCTGCTAGCTGACCTGAAGAGATTGTATTCTGTGGTCGGTTAAGAGATGGTATCTTCTAATTACTGCACAGGAGTGGTGTTAGTGCCGATTGCTGTGATCTACATGATGGGGTCTTCAGATGATATCTTCCTATATCTGACAGCCATCTCTCTCTCTACAGGGTTCTCCTAATAGCTCTGTTTACTTTAATAACTGGGTTTTGTAGGTTTTTCTACAATTCTCTCTTATGTACAGGGCACCCCATAGCTGTGTTCACTGTAGCAAACATGAGCTTTTTCCACGGAAAAGCTGAATTCCGTGTTTTTTAATTCAAGTCTGACAGCTCCTGAGATTCATCAAGGTTAGGTGTTGGGTCCCATGATAGATGTTCAGGGTCATGTCTGCTAGAATCAATGTGGTCTTCTACAGTTCTTTCTCTGTACAGAGAACTCCATAGCCCTGTTCACTTTAATAGCTAATAACATTAAAGATATGTAGATACATCTGAGGTTAGTTTTGATTACAGCATGTACAGGCTCAGTATCTCGAGAACTTCATGTTCAGATGCTATCCAATGTTGTACTACTCTGGTGATTACCACAATATTACATGCTAGTTAATTGATGATTAATAAAATTAATTTCCATGTTAATTACTGTCCTAATGAGGAACTTAAGTGAGTCTTGCCATTACAATTTCTCAAATGTTGATGTATCTGATAGAGCAGCCTAATAAATTAAGATAGTAATGTAAAAAGGGGGAGAGGCATTAAGTCATCACATCTTCCTCCTTGCTGATATAATTCTGCTAAATGTCAAATAAAACTTGGTGATATAATTCTGCTAAATGTCAAATAAGACTATGTAATCCACTATCTGACCTGTCCTTTCATTGCTGAGGCTTCATCTGAATTGTTAACTAGTTCTGGCTGTAGTGAATTTACTAAATGTCTGTGTTCATATATTGGCTTGTCACCCTAATGTAAGTGTGTGTGTGTATGTGTGTGTGTTTGTGTGTGTGTGTAAGAGAGAGAGAGAGAGCAAAGATAAAGAAACATGATCTGATATTCTTAATGAGGGTTACCAGCCATTTGAAGGGGCAGTGTAAAAGATGAGCTGTCACTTCATATGCCACTCTCATGATTAAGCCATCTATAAGATTTATAGGGAGAAGATAAGGATTAAGTGAGATTTGCTTTCGCAATTCAGATATTTTCTTAAAGATAAGCATGGTGATCTTTGACTGGGACCTTCACGATCAAGCTTACTGGTCTTTTGTGAATAACTGATGTATAAAATTATTAAAATCATATTTTTTTATATTGGTTATTACTGATGTGTATTTGTACAAGAGGCATTCCAGCTGATCCATAATCGGCTCTTTTTGAGTGTGGAAGCATGTGTATTTGTGGCCTTAGGCCCTGTACTGTGTATAGTTAAAAGTGTATACAATCTCGACTGTGTTTATTTATGTGTAGGAGGTCAGCTGATGTGTACACAAGGTCACATGACTATTGATTGCGCCACAGCACTGTTGTGTATAGAATGGTAAAGTTTACCTGGCATGACTCATGTGCTAGCCTAGTCTCGTGGTTACTTCGCTGAAATGGTTTCAATAATGTCTGTTAAACATTACTTTGTGGGTTCAAATCCCACTGTCACCACTGACGCCATCTGGCACTTTTTACACTGGAGACCCTCGTTTCTGCATGGATGTGATTTTTTAAGCAGTTTATCTGCTGTGGTTTGTGAATAAAATCCATTGTTGTTTTCAATATACTTTTGTTCATTGTTCATACCTCTACTGTGCGATTTTTATCCCTGTGCTTAAGTTATATTTCGAGTGTTGACACTTACATGGACTGGGAATTTATGCCAATTCAAACTTAACACTTTATCTGAATACCTTGGGTCTTTGATACTGAAAATTAACACAGTCAAATATCAGATGAACATCATGTTATGTCAGTCTTTTGGATTAGCTTTAAGGTCTTATTAAGCATATACATTTTATCATTTTGTTCATTCATGTTTAAAACTACATTATGGAAATGGGAAAAAGTATGTTTAGTCTGCTCACAGTATTCTGCTACTGTCTGTACTTTATTTTGTTTACACCAGGTCCTGTAACTGTTGATTGCTTGTCATTGTTGTGTATATAAAATTAAAGTTCTGTTTTGTTTACTCATGTGCCAGCCTAGTCTTGTTGTTACTTCGCTGAAAATGGGTTTCGATAATGTCAGAATAACATTACTTTGTGGGTTCGGTTCCCACTGTCACCACTGAAGCCATCTGGCACTTTTTACACTGGAGACCCACATTTCTGCATAGATATAATTTGTCAGCAGTTTATCTGCAGTGGTTTGTGAATAAAATTTGTAGCTGTTTTCAATATACTTTTGTCCATGGTTCATATCTGTACTGTGTAGTTTTTATCCCATGTTTCTGAATGGATGTGATGTTCTCAGCAGTTTATCTGCTGTGGTTTTTATGTACAGACACAGATGTGTCTGTACATATTGCCATCACCTGCGTCTGTCGTCGCCGATGCCGATGCCGATGGCGATGCCGATGCCGATGCCGTCGCCGTGCACTTTCCTTGTAAACACGATAAGTGGAAGGCAGTTTTACTTTTTGGCTTTATATTTACAGAGCTGATGAATATTCATAAAACGCAGGTCAAGTTTGAAAATCAGCATGATCGGGCCATTATTGTAGAAGTTATGCTGTTTTTTCACTTTTCAGCATATATGCAACCTTGTAAACACATTTTAAGGAAAACCGTTAGGCCTGTTGTCATGAAACTCACAGGAGTAATCAATCTTACTAAAACGCAGGTCAAGTTCGAAAATCAGCATGATC